TGTGTGTAGGTGAGAATCACCTTTCACATATAGCCTCATCATTCATAGGTGTTAATTGAGAAATAACATTCAATCATAGTACGATTTCATTCCCAACATAATCATAACACTTTCATTGAGATCACACACATATATACTTCACATCATAATCATACATAATCCTTCATGAAATTTCCCCATTGGGCTATGAACCAACATCAACCCATAAATCTAAGACACTACAATAGATAAGGAAATTGACATGATTCAATAACTAATCCAATATAAAAATCAACAATTCAACATACTTGCATAATTAACCAATTCCCAATCTCAACTCATCACTTAAGAATTTGGGGGAAAACATGGGTTCTAGGAAGAAATCATCTTAATTCATCATTAGAACCACAATTCATTTAAAACTCAATGCAATAAAGCCTTTGAAAATCGTTCGGAATCGAACCCATGCAAAGATTGAAAACTAGGGTTTTTGGAGAAACATTGGGGATTTGAAATCAACTTTGAAATTGGCTCCTTGAAAGAAACTAAGTCAAGGATGAAGACTACCATACCTTCTACGAAAGAAATCCACGAAAATACCTTGAAAAACTTGAAGTCTTGACCTTGGAAGCTTGAATCCTTTACCTCCAATGGAGGTTTCTAGAGAGAGAACTTTTGAGAAGAGAGGTTTCTAACTTTGGGGTGTTTTGAAATAAGGAGTAAATGACTTGTTTTAGGACTTAAAACTATATATACTAGTGATATAAAACAATTAAAAAAAACACCACACATTAATTATTTAAAATGAATACCTAAAACACCCTCAACTAAGGCATTCCCGTAAGGGACCACGCCCACTTTGACGGGTCGTGAGGGGCACCATGGCTAGTGGTGGTGCCCATGGTCTCTTAGGCAGTGTGCCTCTCTAACTTGCCAAGCCTTCAAGGGCCTAAGGCAAGTCCACAAGACCTCCCACGATCCGTGGTCAATACCACGAGTCGTGGTTGAGGTCGTGGTCTTGAGGCAGTGTCAAGGCTTCCCAAACCTTGCCTCCACACGCCTAAGTGATTTTCATGATCACGCCCCCATATCTCGTCAAGGGCACCAAGGCCTATGGTGGCGCCCGTGGTTCCTTGACCAGTAGTTCCCTTATCATCCACCAACTCCCATTAAGCTAAGGCAACCCCACAAGCCTTCCCATGGCCTGTGGTCATGACCACGCATCGTGAAGTGGCTCGTGAAGTGGTGCCTTGGCTTGGCACCTCACAAGGGCACACTGCCATGCCAATCACAGATGGTGGTACCACGATTCGTGGTGGATACCATGGGTCAAGAAGACCCTCGTGGTCATGGTAGGCAATGTCTAAGCCTAGTTTTTAGGCAGCCTTGGCCCCTCACCATGGCCTACACCCAAAACCCTTAGCCCTTGCCTTAACCCTTGACATTAACCATCACGTTTAGGCTTTAGATTAACCTATTATTTTCTGAGTCGTTACATTATCTCCCCCTTAGGAACATTCCTCCTCGAATGACAATTTAAACACATTAAGGGATGACGACTCAAGACTAGAAGCCCATCATGCATGAAACATCAATACAATGCACAAAACGATAGGAGGAAACATAAACTCCACATCAATAAGTTCAATGCAACACAAGAAAGTAGGAACTACATCTACAAGCTCATTATGTACAAAAACATCAACATTTCTCATTTTGTTGGAGTAATTTCCTTCTCCAACTCACATCATGCTCATCTTAACATCATTAAGCAGATTATGCAACTCTTCATAAAAGCACATTTAGGCATGTTCAACAATCAACCTCATGAAGCATATAGACAACTCATACTAGATGCAAATCAACATGAGGAACACAATTCATGAAAACTCATTTTCTCATATAAACATAAACTCATTAAGAACATGCATAACATAAGGAGACCATGGAAACACCTAATCACACATGACTCCAAAACATGAAAGAAGCTACAAGGAACTCTTGGTCTCAAGCTTGAATATGAATAACATGAAAGAGATAAGGTTATCAAAACACTCAACAACTTTACTATTCAACATACTATCCCCGACTTAGGAGTAAACCCAACTAAGGTTAACATGAAAACATCATAGGAACCTCAATACAACACTCACAATCTATAAGGAACTATCACATACCGGTGCCTTCATCCGGATGAACTCCTTTGTCCTTGTTAGCTTGAAGCACATAGAAACGATTTTTCTTTGGAGTATTAGGATCTGAACCATCAAGAGAAGCTTGCTTATCAGCCCTTCCTTTTGCCGAGAGTGTTGGGCTATCTCTCATCTTATGACCCTTCTTTCCACACCCAAAGCAATTATCTGTGCCAGCAAGGCACTTACCAAAATGTTGCTTCCCACACTTGGCATATCTAGACCTCTCAAAAGAAGAACCACTTCCATTCCCTTCTTGAGACTTAGGGTTAGACACCCTATCATTGTTGACCATTAAGTAATCTTGATTGGAGAACCTCTTTTTGGACCTTGGTTGACGTTGCTCATCGGACCTAGACCTCTTCATCTCTCTACTCTTCCTCTCAAGTTTGGACTCCTCAATAGATTGAACATACCCAATGAGTCTAGAAATGTACATGTCATCATGAAGCATTGTCGTACGACACTCTTCCTTAACTAGGTCGGATACACCGGTCGCAAATTGACTCATCTCATCCCTAGGGTTGGACACCAAAGATAGAGCATACTTAGACAACAGGGTAAATTTCAAGGAATACTCCTCCACACTCATGCTCCCTTGCCTAAGGTTGATAAATTCCTCCACCTTAACCTCCCTCTTCTCACGGGGAAAGTACCTACCAAGGAAAACTTTCTTAAACTCCTCCCATTCTATAGGACCCGCTTCCATAGGTCTATTGCTTTTCCATTGAGTGAACCAAACTTGGGAAAGATCCCTCAATTGGTAGGAGGCAAGTTCCGGTTTTTCTCTAGAAGTCACCCCCATAGCATTGACTATCTTATACACCTCATCCAAAAACTCTTGGGGATCCTCTCCCACCTTAGAACCAAGAAATATCAGAGGATTCATCCTCACAAAGTCCCTCAACCTAGAAGCCATAGTACTCTAATTAGCATTCACTTTAGTCCCCACATCCCTATTAACTTGGCCCGTCATAGCTTGGGCTAATGTTAGAAAAGCCGACCTAATATCTTCATTAGTCATGGCCGGACCATCAATCGGAACTTGGTTTTCTTGAGGAACTTGATCAACTTGGTCACCTTAAGGACCTTGAGGATCTTGGGGAGGAGCTCCCTCATTCACATTCTCCTCTTCCACTATTATTGCGGGCGTCCTTCTTCTATTCATATCCTATAAACACAAAAGAAGGATTAGGAAAAGGACACTTAAAGAGCTAAACTCTAAGGCACGACTTCAAGAGTAATGAAAGAAGTGTAAATTTCTAACGTCCTATAGCCTCTCACTCATAGATGTGTCGCGACTCACTCTGATGAACAAGATTCTACTAGACGTGGATTGTGAGACATCAATCCTAAAAACCATTCCTAAAACCTTATGCTCTGATACCACATTTGTCACCACCCGAGCCTACACCTCGGAAGCGACACGACGTATAAGACTTATAAAAGTCTCATACAAGCCTCATAGCATTCATAACATTCGATATAAAGAAAATGGTACGAAATTAAAACCATATTTAAAACCATACAATAAAAAACAACCCCATACATTAATTAATTAAAATGAAATTACCTAAAACACCCTCAACTAAGGAAGCCCCGTCATGGACCATGCCCACTTTGACGGGTCGGGAGGGGCACCACGGCTCGTGGTGGTGCTCGTGGTCCCTTAGGTAGTGTGCCTCTCTAACTTGCCAAGCCTTCAACGACCAAAGGCAAGTCCATGATACCTCCCACGATCTGTGGTCAAGACCACAAGTCGTGGTTGAGGTCGTGGTCTTGAGGTAGTGTTAAGGCTTCCCAAGCCTTGCCTCCACACGCCTAAGTGATCTTCACGATCACTCCACCTTGGCTCGTGAAGGGCACCACGACCCGTGGTCCACGGCCCGTGGTCCCTTGACCAGTAACTCCCGTATCATCCAACAACTCCCATTAAGCTAAGTCAACCCCACGAGCCTTCCCATAGCCCGTGGTCATGACCATGAGTCGTGAAGTGGCTCCTGAAGTGGTGCCTTGGCTTGGCACCTCATAAGGGCACACTTCCATGCCAACCACGGGTGGCACCATGACTCATGGTGGCCACCACGGGTCAAGAAGACCCTTGTGGTCATGGTAGGCAGTGTCTAAGCCTAGTTTTTGGCAGCCTTGGTCCCTCACCATGGCCTACACCCAAAACCCTTAGCCCTTTCCCTTAACCCTTTATGTTAACCCTCACATTTAGGCTCTAGATTAACCTATCATTTTCTGAGTCGTTACAGAACCACTCGGCGATCCGCCGACTGCTCCTTTTTCTCGCCAACATGGTTCTTTCCTTCAAGGCTTGGCACACTGGAACTTTAGTCAGTCAATTAGCCGTTGGGCGACTCACCAAGTGGACTTGGCGATCAACAATCTTGCCTTTATTCATTCATTTATCCCGTTTTGTTACTTTTTGCAAATTAGTGTCCTGGCTTTGTTCCTCAATCCATATACCTAGGAATCAAGGGTTTTACATCAGTTACTGGCACAAAATAAGCATCTGAGGATACTAAACCTATATAAATAAAGCCCAAAATTAGTCCAAATCTCGAACTCATCAGTGCCTCCTTTGCTACCTATAAAGTTGCTGCCTAAAGTTACTCCACTATTCCCCAAAGATTAAAAAACAGGGTTGAAGACACAAAGTTCCAAAAATGTCTTTGTGTCTTTAAAACTCTTTCCATTAATCTTCCTTTTGTGGAGGGTTTGTTAGAAATGTCGGGTTATGAAAAGTTTATGAAAGAGTTGGTCACAAAGAAGAGAAGTATGGATTTTTAGACAATTGAAGTATCCCATAGTAGTAGTGCCATTATGTCAAGCAACGTGGTTGTCAAGAAGAATGATCCGAGGGATTTTACTATTTCATGCACTATCGGGATGTTCCAATTTGCTAAAGCATTATATGATTTTGGGGCTTGTATAAATTTGATGCTCTATGACATTTTCAAGAAACTCGGGTTGGGTGAACCAAAACCTACAACTATGCGTCTTCTCATGGCCAACCGCTCTATCAAGCACCCCATGGGAATTCTTTATGACATTTTGGTGAAGATGGACAAATTTATATTTCCAGCTGATTTTGTGATCGTCAATTGCGAGATTGATGATGAGGTCCCTATTATTCTTGGTAGGCTATTCATGGCTACCGACAAAGCTCTAGATGATGTGGAAAGCAGTGAATTGACATTTCGGATAAATGATGAGGAAGTTACATTCAATGTTTGCAAATTGATGAAGCAACCAAGTAACCTCCATGTGATATTGGTCATTGATGTGATTGATGAAGTACTTGCTAGTGTGAGTGAAGTTTCTTGTGTTGGTGAATCTTTGACGCCCGTTCTTCTGAACTATTATGGGGAGAAAAGTCAAGATTATGATGAATTGGTGGCTGCTCTATCGTGTTTAGGTTCTTATTCTAATAGAGATTTGAAACTTGATATCGATTTGAAGAATAGAGAAAGTCCTCCCACAAAGCGATCTATGGAAGAACCACAAAAGCTAGAATTGAAGGTACTTCTCTCTAACCTTCATTATGTGTTCTTGGGAGCCAATAATACTTTGCCCCATGATTATTGTGGTAGATTTGATTCAATGGCAAGTGCAAGTGCTTTTTAGTGTGTTGAAGAGGCTTATCAAACCTATTGGGTGGGCGATTGCCGACATTATGGGAATTTCTCCCGATATTTGTACTTAGAAGATTTAATTGACTAGTGATTGTAAGCCAAGTATTGAACATCAAAGGATGTTGAATCCTCCAATGCAAAAAGTCATCAAGAAAGAGAATATCAAGCCAGCTTGATACAGAAGTTGTCAACCCTATTGCTGATAGCAAGTAGGTTAGTCCCGTTCAATTTGTTATGAAAAAGGATAGTATGACGTTGTACCTAATGTCAAAGGGGAGCTTGGTCCAGTGCTACCGGTTACCGGTTCACATGTATGTATGGACTATTGGAAATTAAATCTATAGATCGAGAAGGATCATTTCCCTATGCCCTTAATGGACCAAATGCTTGATAGACTTGCGGGGCGTGGACGATATTGCTTATTAGATGGTTACTGCGGTTATAATCAAATCATCATTGCACCGGAAGATCAAGAAAAGTGAACCTTCACATGTCCCTATGGGATGTTTTCTTTCAAAAGAATGTCTTTCAGATTGTGCAATACACTGGCAACATTTCAACATTACATGCTCTCTATTTTTGCCGATATGGTAGAGGATTCGATGGAGGTTTTCATGGATGACTCTTTGGATGTGGGAGATACATTTGAAGCATGCCTTGAGCGCCATGGTAGACTTTTGCCAAGATGTGTCGAAGAAAATTTTGTTCTACATTGGGAGAAATGCCAATTCATGGTTATGAAAGGTATTATATTGGGGCACAAAATTTTGGGACAAGGCATACAAGTTGATCAAGCTAAAGTTGAAGTTATTTCCATGTTTCCTCCTACTATCTCAGTGAAAGGTGTTAGAGGTTTCTTGGGTCATGCAGGTTTCTATCAACATTTCATAAAATATTTCTCTAAGGTTGATCACCCTCTTTGCAAGCTACTTGAAATGAATGTTGTTGTCTTTGGTGAGAAAGATATTAAAGAGGACTATCAGGATGAGTTGGTGATGGTTGTGTAAAATATTACTGCGCCTTGGTATCTTAATTTTGCAAATTATGTGGTGTGTGGGATTCTTCCCGATGGGCTAAATTTTTACCAATGAAAGAGGTTCCTTTTCGATGTGAAGAAATACTTTTGGGATGAACCTTACCTATTTTGGGAGCGGACCACATGATTAGAAAGTTTGTTTCATAGTTTGAGATAGATGCTATTCTTGATGCTTGCCACTCGTCACCGGTGGGTCGACACCATAGTGGAGTACGTAAAACTGCGAAGGTACTTCAAAGTGGTTATTATTGGTCGACGTTGTATCAAGATGACGACTCCCTTGTTAAGAAATGTGTTCAATGCCAAAAGCAAGGAGGTGTGTCGCGAAGGCACGAATTACCTCGCACTCCTATTCTAGAGGTTGAGTTGTTTGATGTATGAGGAATCAATTTCATGGACCTTCTTGTGAGTTCGTATGGGAACAAATACATATTTGTGGCTATTGACTATGTCTCGAAATGGGTAGAGGCTGTGGCCTTACCTAATAATTAAGGTAAAAGTGTTGTTCAATTCCTTAACCGAATGTTTTTCACAAGGTTTTGCACTCCACGTGCAATTATTAGTGATGTGGGCTCTCACTTTTGTAACCGAATGTTTGCATCATTGTTGAGAAAGTATAGAGTTAAAATAAGGCTGCTACCCCTTATCATCGGCAAACAAGTGGGCAAGTTGAGGTGTCAAACCGGGAAATCAAAGGAAACTTGACCAAGACTGTTAATGCAAATCAAATCGGTCGGTTCCAGAAGTTAGATGATGCTCTTTGGGCGTATATAACTACGTTAAGGACTCCAATTGGTATGTACCCATAACAATTGGTGTTCGGTAAGTCTTGTCATTAGTTGGTGGAACTTGAGAATAATGTGTTCTGGGCCTTGAAGGCCATGAACTTTAATTAGGAGGATGTGTCGAAGGATCAAGTTGATCAACTCCACGCTTTTGAAGAATTTAGGCTTCGAGCTTATGAGAGTTCAACGCTTTATAAGGAGAAAAATAAAGAAATGGCATGATGCCAAAATCCTTCACCGTGAGTTTAAAGTCGGTGATCTTGTGTTGCTCTATAACTCAAGTTTGAGACTTCTACGAAAACTCAGGTCCAAATGGTTGGGACCGTTCAAAGTGAATCATATGTTCACTAATGGGGCAACAGAAGTTGAAAACGAGGATGGTTCGGTGTTCAAGGTGAAAGGGCAAAGGCTAAAGATTTACTTTGGAGAGCGCCCCAATGTGATAGTGATTGATGTGGTGTATTTTGATGATGCTTGAATGCAAGTCCATGTCATCGTGCCATGACGTTAACTAAGGCACTTCTTGAGAGGCAACCCAAGTTTTATTTTTTATTTTTTGAATAACGTTTGTTGGATGCGTAGGTTGGAGTTCGTATCTTGGAAAGAAGGAAAAGGGGCGAGGGGCTGGACCAATTGGCGAGTCACCGAATTACCCCTACAATCGCCCAATTATATCGCCAAAGGAAAATAAAAAAATGAGGAAAGTTCTGGAAGATTGGGCGAACTCATGGATCACCACTTTTCTGCACCTTCTAAAGGCAGCATGTTCTTTTTGATTTGGTAGGCTGAGACCCATTCGGCATACCGCCGAATCAATTTGGCAACATTAATAAGGTGGTCGAATGGAGCTCGAACTGACAAGTCATGTCTTTTTAAATTCAAACCTTCCTTTTTATTTGAAATTTTCGACTCATCTTCCCTTTCATTCAAATTTTAGAATACATTTTGCTTGTTCGTGTGTCGTGTGCTTTGAATTCTAAGCTTGTGGTGATCCCTTTTCCCTACTTTTTTGCCGAGTGTCTCTTTGTCGTTAATTTGAGGTTGGTTTACTAATCTTGTTTATTTTGAAGCCGAAATAGAATTGATAATGGGTAGTGTAATGTAGTCTTCGTTTTTAGTTGATTGTGGTGCTTTGATTGTATGCCTATTGTCTTGTAGAACTTGAATTTGAAATCAAGCATGCTAAAATCAATCTTTAAGGCCAATTTGATTTAGTTTCTCGTGTTTGTGTTGAAATTGTTGGTGTTGCATGTTGGGTTTTGTGCGGGTAAAGTCTAAGTAGCCCGAATTCAACCAAATAACTTGAAGTTTCCCGATGATGGATTGGGTGACGTCGTTCTTAACGGCAAAGTCATCGTTTTGTTGAATTTGAATCAATTACGGGGAAGTCTGAGTACCCCAGCATAGAAATTCATCGTGGGTAGATTAGAATTGCTTGAAATTGTGCATGAATTGATATGTTGTAGGTTGTGGGTTGTATATAAAAAAATGATTGAGGAGATGATGCGTCGGCCATTCCATTGAGCGCGCCAACTTCACCAAACTTCCTCCCCATCCCTTTTCTGCCGGGTTAATGAAGGGGAACCGCTGTTACTTTCTGTGATGACCCTTTAGCTTGCCGAATGGCACTGGTATCAACCTTTTTATCTTTATTTTAGCTGGATTTTTTGTAACATTGAGCGAGGTCTCTCTGATCGCCGAGTGAACTCGGCGACTCGCTGAATGGTCTTTGGTTTCACATTTTTTAACTAAATTTTTCCTGAGTTTTTCTGTAACATTTGGTGAGTCCCCTTTTATTCGCTGAAATGACTCAACAACTCACAGAATCGGTTGGTGATTTTTCGTGCAGATTTTGAGAATGCTATTTCACTAACCCTTTGCAACGACATTTGTTCTCGTTTGTTCTCTTTTGCAGGTAAGGCTAGACCTAAGGTTCCCGCACGAGGTCCACCACCCAGGAAGAAGGCCAAAGGGGTTCTGATCACAACAGAGGTTGAAACTCCATGAACTACTCGTCCTAATCGTCCTCCGATGAGTTGTAAGGGTAAAGGCAGGAAGCCGGTCATGTCAAAGTCGATCTTTGATGACAGTGGTGACCTCGGCTCCATTCAGTTCACCACCTCCGAGTCTCAGAGTGAGGAAGCTGTGGGGTCTAGTACCCCAGAACATACTCTGATGCCGGAAGTCGAGTTAGCAAAAATGAAGCATTTAGCGTGGCGGTCTAAAACAACTCATGATCCATTGACATTGCCTCTAGCACCACCACCATCTCAGGTACCACAAGTGCCTCTTGTTCCAGTACATCCTCCCCGATCTACGAATAGGTTGAAGGTCGTTGGCTGGCAGTTCATACTTGAGAAGAAGCAACTGTCCACATCCGGAGTGGTGAACAAACACCCCACTGTTTGGGAGACCTTGAGGTACAAAATATTCAAGCAGTTCAGCAAACCCCAAAATCTATATGTGCCTATATGGGTTCGGGAGATCTATGAATGGTTGACAAAGTTGGTCCCAAAGGGGAAAAAGAAGGAAGGGTTGATGGCACCGGTTGATTTTTTTGAGGTGCACGGAAAGAAAGTCAAGTGCAGTGAAACATATATAAATGATGAGTTGGACTGCACGACACAGACTCGACACTTTTTGGCCGACAAGATTAAACTATAAACTCTAGAAGATTTGAAGGGGTGGCTTGCCCCACCAGTGTGTGACGCCACTCCCCCATGGATCGAAGCGGGGGTAGTTAATGAGAAGAAGGACCTGAAAATCGCGGTGCGGTACTTGATCGGGTTTATTAGCATCACTTTGATGCAATCTCAGAATGAGTCCATCATCTGACATCCAAAAGCTACACTTTTTGGATGTATTGTCAATTGGGAGCGGCTAAATCTTGGGTCCATCGTTGCACAGGAGATGACTATTGTTGACACTCAAATTTGGCTCTCCACATTTATTTAACTATAGTTTTAATACTAATAATAATAATAATGATAGTAAAATATATATTTTACGAACTTTTGTAGGAATACGAAAAAAACAGTTTTAAAATATAGTTTTTATCTTATTTGATATATTTTATTTCATAATTTGTTTCTTATAAAAATTATATATATATATATATATATATAATTATTACTATTTACTTACTTGTTTTTAAAATTTTACGTTAAATAAATATTGTTCTTAAGGGTTAACTCAATTTTTCTAATTAAATACAATTTCTATTATTGCGATAAATATTTTTCATACATTTCTTTTAAATAGGAAGCTTAATTAATTAATGAGTTACTAACTTATAACATATTTTTATTTTTTAGAATGACTAATTTTATCAAATAAGCTAATCTTGCAAAATATTTTTTTAAAATTTAGTAATTATAGCTATTTAATAAAGAAGAAGCTATAATTTAAATGGATTTAATTTGAGCAAAGTTTGGCAATCCAAGTCATTCTAATTAAGCCTATCCATGCGTGCCACGTAGGAAGCACATAGATTGTGCTTCTTTAGCTTCAATCTTGGCCCTACGATCTAATCTAACAACATTAATTAATTCATCATTTTATTTTATATATATATATATATAATTTTTTTAAACTCTTTTTATTAACCGTCCGATCAATTAAATAAGGCTTTAATAGACCCCTACGATCGCCCTATACCCTTCCTTTTCCCAGATCATGTCAACCTTCTCCTTCCCCAGAAAGAAGAATGTGTCTTCAACTTTTATTTTCCCATGAGTGTGTCCCTTCACTCTTCACCTTTTCCAGAAAATGCGTCTGCCCACTCACATTCCCTTTTTGCGTCTTCTTCCTCGCGAAGAACAACGACCGCTCGTATCAATCCGACAAACCTGGAAAAGCTGCAACAAGAAGCATCGACGGTTCAACAGTACGTCCTCTCCCATCACCTCTGTCAAAAAATGGGTCTGGGCCACCGGAAAAATATCAATTTCGGCGTTTCCTTGCTTTATGCTCCATCTATCACTCACCCCCTTCCAATCAATCCGAACAGTAGGATTTTCCAAAAGATTTTCTTCTCCTTCATTTCTTTTTATGTTTCCTCTGAGACTTGAGTTTCCAAGAATTCAAATTTTGAATACTTGGAGCCCAATTTGGCTATAAAAGGAACCCATTTGGTTCTCATCAAGATCACCCAGCAACAATCCATAAATCCGAGAATCAAGCAAAGCCGAGAGAAAATCCAAGAACCCATTGTAGAACTGATATATTTACTACAAGCTCTAAATTTCAAAATCACTTCATCTCTTTTTCTCTTTGTTCTCTTGTTCTTAATCTATTTCGATTTCAAGTTCCGAAGTTGAGTTCAAGTTTGGACGTATACAAAAAAAGCCCTAGTTTGCTGCTCTCAAAAAGGTACACTACCTCGCTCTTATTTTTTTTTCGATCTTTAGTTAGTCATTTGGGTTGATATTTTTTTGACAATTTTGATTCAGGTGCTTAATTTGTTTGTTCAAATTTTATTTTATTCTTTACTCTTACTATAGTTAAGATTCCGTTTTACAATGATATATGTCTCTCATATGCTCTCTTTGACTTGAATATGAGTTTGGATGTGTATCGCTGAGAATGATAATCTGGTTTAAGCTTCCTGACTGTAATGTAGCCTAATCTAGTTTTAAAAAGTCATAGTTTAATTCTGAATGTCTCTCCCTCTCTTTGTAGTTATTGTTGGTTCAAAGACTGATATTTGTCATTTTAACTTTAAGATATTATCCTCTTAGTTGTTACGAATTCGTACTCACTTGATTTAACATTCTTATCATTTATACTTTGTGTTACTATGATATCCTATTCTAAAACATGTTCTCTTGAGCATTTGGACGATCTGGTTGTACCTTTGTGTTTTTTTTTTCCAGAATTTGTGAGTTCGAATTATCTAGTTTGATTCACAAAGCTCCATTCTCCCCCCTACTCCCATATTTATCCTTATCGACTTATGATTTCCCAAATGAACTTTCATTATTTGATGGTACTAGCTTCACCTATATGAATATCATTCATGGTATGTTCTTAAGAACTCCCTCCTTAATCTCATGTAAAGAGGTAGATTGATGGCTTATATACACGTTCGATAGCTCGAATACTTTGAATATGATTAGAGTATATGTTGGAGGGGGAGAAATTTTATAGACTGGTGATGTAGTTCATTCTAGTTCTATGTGTAAATTGAATGCACATATTGTTTGGTGTTCTATTTCAGTTTTTGATGTTTATTTTTACGTCATAGTTGTGTTGTAGTTCATTATGTTCCCCATGAGAACTCTTACTTCACACGAGTATGGAATTGCGCTTTCGTTAATCTTTTCATTTCTCTCTAAAAAAAACTCGTGAACCGGGTTATGTTGCTCTTAGATATAAGCAGAGCAGTAACACTACATCTTTGACAAAATATTTTAGCCACTATCTATTAGGACGTGCTAATTGATTAATTCTAATCTTTTATGGTCGAGGTTGATCAAAGCCTATTATGTACATACTCAAGCAGTCCCCAACTGCATATTAGTTTGAATAAGTTACATGAAGCATGGAATTTATTTTTAAGCATAATCAGCAACCAACTGTGGAATCATTGTAAAACTCGCACATCGATATAGCTATCCAACTTTTCTTTAGGCTTGTTTGAAAGGTATCCTATAGTTGATCAGAAACTCCCTAGAATGATTAAAGTTTGGTATACTAATTGCTTAAATGTCATCACGGAACTGCCAAGATAGTATCATGTTGTTGTTGTTGTTGTTTATGAGTATTTTTTTCCAGTATGCCTATGACTACATAATACTTATTTTTATGTCTTCTGATAAATCTAAATGCATTTGCTAATTCTCTTCTTTTCTTTATTTCACATGTATTCTCAGAGCACGTTCGGAGTTAGTATATGACTCCCCCCTCTGCCCAAATCAGAGAAGCGACTAACAGCCGCATAAGCTCATGTCTAGATGCCCATTTTTGCGTCTATAGTGTCCAACATTTCCTTCTCTCTTCAAAGTTTTCACGTTCTTTATATCATATATGTGTTGTTATCTTTTGACTAACATTTTACACATAAGTATTTCACTTATATTTATGCTTGCTTTTATTTATTTGGGTTTGTACGAATCAACTAAGAAAAATGGTAAGACGTAGTTTTCCACCTCGCATCCCTTTAGATATTGGGTTTACTATAGTTATTTAGTTTAGAACATTATTTTCCTACCAAGTTTATTTGTTATTTGAGGCACTTTGCGGTTATGAAATCATGTCTCTTCAAAAAGGTAGCTAGGGAACAACCCTTTCAAAATGTTTAGTACCTATTTTCAGATTTGTGTTTGATAAACTAAGTGTTTTATGTGTGGCTTTTGGGAGCCTAAAGTGCAGATTTTGGTGGTTTAAAAGTGCAGATTTTTTAGCTTAAAAAAAGGAGCAGATTTTGAGTGCAAGAAAGCACATTTTTCTTAAAACTTTGCAAGTGTAGGAATTTAGTACGTAGCAGTGTTTATGTTTTAAAGTAGAACACAACTTTATTTTTGAACTCTAGAATGGATAGATTAGTGATAGAACACAACTTTCAAATGGAATACAATTATTATTTTCTTTCTAAGACAAAAATGGCCTAAAATTTGGCCCCCCTCAGCCTTAAGTTAGTTTTTCATGAAAAACATTTTACCCAATAAATTATATTTATTTTTCAAGTCTTTTGGCTCGTTAAAAAATAATAATTTTAACTAATTCTCCCTAAGATTATAGTAGACATTGTATCATTCTTGAGATTTTTATAGTTAGCATTTTATAAAATATTACACATTAACCCTTTCTTTTAAGGCTAATTTATATTCCGTTAAAAAGGACATTAATATTTTCTCTTAAACCATTTTCAGAAGTTCTCTTTTAATTAATCTAATTGTGATCGGTTAACAATTTTTAATAAATCTTTTTTTTTTTTTTATAAAAAAGAGAGCTTTCAATCTCTCTCCCTTAGGATAATTAAGATCTCTTACCTAGAATTGCATAAGTTAAGTAGACCCTTAATAAGAGTTAACCCTAACATTATTTTGTCCAATATTTAGATGTCCTAATCTTCATCTTTGAAATAATTAGGCAATTTTTAGACCCTTAAAAACTAAAGGTAGAAGAATAATGATTTGGGGTGGGACACCAACAACTAGGCTTATTCTATATTTTTAAAATCATATCCTTAATAAAAAATATATTTGTCATTATTGTTATCTTTCAAATCAAATATTACTAAAATATTTTAAACTCTTAACATGCTATTTAAAGATTTTAGATATGCCAACAAATTCAAAATACAACGTACATACATATATATATATGTCATGCACATAAAGGTATAAATTCTCTATTTTTATATTTTAGTTTTCTCTACACATGACCTATTATTTTTTTATACTTTATAGGCTTAAGTCATCTACGACCCCTTAAAGTTGTCCGCATAATTCACTTAGACACCTTAACTAGGACTTGTACCTATTGAACACCTCTACCATCCCGAATTTGAACCATTTGAATATTTTTTTGATAATAAGCTAAAAGTAGAAAATGTGTGAAATACACTTGCGGTGACATGTTAATTTGACTAATTAAATAGTGACATGTGTCATTTTGAATCCAAAATATTATTTAAAATTATATTATAAAGTAAAGAAAAAGAAATTATTTTAAAGTAAAAATAAAATGAAAAAAAGGGGTATCTTAAACCACCCCATTTCCCCTTCAATCTATTGAAGCTCAGAACTCACTTTTTCTTCTATAGTACCACCCCCATTCATGGCGATCTTCCCTCTCCCTTTATAGTGTTATCCCCTACGCGACAAATCTTCCTTTCCATCAGCCTATTCTTAACTACAACTTTATTTTTCGTCTCGTTTTAGGTAGATAAAGATGAAAAATTCGCCGGAAAATTAATGAGTCCCGATTGTCATTGTCGGAAAAGTGAAATTATCTCGAACTTGTTTTGTTTTTCATAATCGATTAACTTTTTTGGATGGAGAACATCATTAAATTCAGCCAATATACATCAATTTAAAGTCCAATTAAAATGGCAAATAAAAAAAACTTCAATAAAAATTTGAGCAAAGCAAATAATAAATAGAAAAATCCTCCAATAGATTCACATAACTGGACATCAATTTACCAAATTACTACATTAAAGAGACAAACTCCAAACCTAAAGCCCTCTACAAATTAAACATGATGAAAATAATGATGATAATAGTGGAAAGGTCGTGTCAATGGTGGTGCTGCCAATAAAAAAAAGAGTAAATTTTAGGTTTAGCAAACATAAAAATTATATTTATATATTATAGCTATAGTTTGTATAATTGCACTCCATAACAAACTTTATGTTTGCTATGACTATTAATCTGTCTATTTAGGTATACATATACATAAAAATCTGTATTTGTATATTTCGGTATACAAACTAAAACATAGTAATTGTATATAAAAAAAAATTACTACATATATACAACACATACCGAAATATACAAGTGTCCTGCAATTAATTTTTATACAACACATATGGGTCTATTTGTATATTTTGGTATACAAATGGGTCTTGCAAATATTTTTTGTCATCCCATTTGTATACCGAAATATACAAATAGACCCATATGTGTTGTATAAAAATTAATTGCAGGACCCATTTGTATACTGAAATATACAAATAGACCCATATTTTATATATATCGGTATACAAATGTGTCCTGCAATTAATTTTTATACAACACATATGGGTCTATTTGTATATTTTGGTATACAAATGGGATTCAAAAAAATGAAATGTTAGCTGCAAATTACAAATAAAAGAAGCTATGACTATAACATTTAATTTGAATTAATAATTGCTATTTCATACAACTTTTCCTAAAATAAATCAACAGAGGTGTAAGAACTGAAGTATCAAGAATAAAAAAGAGGAAGAAGAAGGGTGTGTAGTGGCAGCGGCAACACCGAACTGGTGGTGTGGTAGAGGAAATGATGACAAAGAAGATGAAGAAGAAAGAATACTTCTTTCCACAAAAAATGCCTAATTTAATACCTTTCACGCGCTTATAGGATGTGAATCACAAACAATGTGCTACCTAGGTAAAAAATGTTCAAATAGTTCAAATTCGTAAGGGTAGGAGTGTTCAATACGTACAAGTCCTAGTTAAGGTGTCTAAGTGAATTATGCGGACAACTTTAAGGGGCCACCGATGACTTAAGCCTACTTTATATTATTTCCCTCATATCTACTATATTTTTTACAAATGTTATTTGTTTATTTTCTTAATGTAATTTATAAATCCTTACGCTTTCATATACATATTATTTTACTACATATAATGTATGGTCAATTTGTCCCTACATGTAAATAAAAATAATAAATGTTCATATGTTTTAAACAACATACATGTAGATGCTGTACTTTATAATAAATCTATTTAAAATCACAAACTTTATATAAGACATTTAGTATCATTATTTTACTAAACTTCTTTTTTCACACATACTATTATATACTTATTCCGACTATTATCTTATTTTATTTTATTTTTCTCTACGTCTTAATTTTATATATAAATAAAACGACAAATTTTTCATGTCTTTTATACTCAACATTTATATGTTTAGAATAAGTTTACATAAGACACATCTTTTTTTAACATATAAAATTGTCATACATTTCAAGTGTATTTATTTATTTATTTTACTATATGATAAACGTACTAGTATGAAATTTATTTTTATAGACATATATATGTCATATCTTGTATTTTACTCTTTTTCTTAAACTAATGAAATTTACTTATCACGAATTTTAAAGCAAATAACCATTAAATTTTTCTAATTATTTTTCCTAAATTGAGTTTAAGGACTATCTTCGGATAGGCTCTGAGGGATGCTTAATACCTTCCCCTCGAGTAACCAAAACCCTTACTCAGAATCTCACTGGTTTCACAAATCAAAACAAAGTTTACATTTACATATAAAAATGGTTTTCCTAATGTTTACCTTAAAATTAGGTGGTGATTTTAAAACAATACAATTTTCAGAAAATCAGTGTGGCAGCCATATTATGTTGTGAACTGTTTCGGCTGGTTCGAAATAGGGTACGATAGCTTGGCAACTCTGTTAGGGACTTACTTAGGTTTTAACCTTACAAAAACTCAATTTAGGAATAACATTTGTGATTACTTGTGTATTTTCAGCTTACTATTTGCTTTGCCGAAATGATATATTGCTTTGATTGAAAGGTCGCAAGTCAAATCCAAACTTGTGTTCCTTATTTATTTTTGAAATACTATCTGTTACCGCTTTACCTACACTGTCATTTGCACTTTCTATCGAGTCTTTGCCCGTACACAAACACACACTGAACATGCGAGAGGTGTTCTGCAATCCTCCAAAAGTCTCTTTGGATTCCTTTGTTCCAGAGTTGGTGCAATTAAAATAGTGCACCTTCTCGTATTTACTCTGTCCCACTCTCAATCATCTCGGAAAAAATCCTACTCTAGAAATAGGTCATGTTGCATAGTCTTAGGCAAAACAATATAAGGTATTGTCGTTGCGTTTAGGAAACCACCCAAATGTCAATTAGTTTCTTCTTTAAAATTCGACGACATACATTTTGTGTGAAATTGATATGAATGATCTAAACTAAAACATTTAATGGATTTGGAGCAAATACACTCATCATACCCGTTACCCTTTCTTTCAGATGCAAATCAACCAAAACCTCCCTAATATCAGGATGATGACTGAGGTCACCTTACTTTAAAAGATTGGTGGGGAAACATCCGAGTGGCATACAAAAATGATATTATGCCACACCTGGGGGTCATTATAGCGATTATGCCAATAAAGTTTTCTAATTAGTTTTCCTAAATTGAGTTTAAGGACTATCTTCGGATAGGCTCTGAGGGATGCTTAATACCTTCCCCTCAAGTAACCAAAATTCTTACTCAGAATCTCACTGGTTTCACAAATCAAAATAGAGTTTACAATTACATATAGAAATGGTTTTCCGAATGTTTTCCTTTAAATTAGGTGGCGACTCTTAAACAAAATATTTTTAAAAAAACTAGGGTGGCAA